TCACCCGTGCCAGGAGCTGCGAGGTCTGAGCCGAACCGGGAGGCGATGGGAGCTTCCACGGACACCCTGAGGATGCTGAGGCAGGGGCTGAAGCCTCCCCACAGCCCTGCACTCTCCTCCAGGAGGCGCTGGGAGAAGGAATGATGGAGTTTCCCTGCGGGAGTTCTCCTTTTCTCGCACAAACTCTTTGCCCTCCTCACTCTTCCCACTCACGGCGTGACCAGAGGGACACGAGCGCTTGGATTGTCCCACAGGGACCCTCCAGGTCCTGTAGGAAAGCCAGGACCCCCCACCCCCGTGTGTCCTCTGCTCCTCCCCAGCTCGGGGTTCCTCCCCGAGGAACCTCACTGGGACAATTCCCCACCTGGCTCGGAGCCCTCGCGCTCTCCCCGCTGCCAGAAAGGGAATTTTTCATGGAATTTTCGCCCGGTTTGGTCGCTCCCATGCCCGTGTGTCTCCAAGCCATCCGCGGTGGGGATGGGGCAGAGCAGAGAGACCCCCAGGGTCCCCCCCAGCTGCAGCTTTGGGGTCCCCGCTGTCTCCAGACGTGCCCAGGGGTCTCCTCGTGGTGCCGGACAAGGCTGGGATGGAAAAATCCCGAGCTGGTGTGGGAATGGGTGGCGAGGAGGGTGTTCCCTGCTCCATCCCTATCCCAGGTACACCGGGATGAGCAGCAGCTCTCCCTCCCTCCGCGGGGCCCCTCTGTTGGCACATGCCGGGTAACGCTGGGTCTCCTTGGTGACGGATTAGGGGATTACAGAGCTCAGGTGAGCCCTCCGCACTCCGGCCGGTGAATCCCGGGAATAGCTCCGGGAATGGCTCCGGGAAGGGATCCGGGAATGGCTCCGGCTCCGAGCCCAGGGGGAACCAGGGACCCCTGTTTGTGCCACTGCCCAGCGCTGGGGGAGCATTTGGGGCTCAGATCCTGGTGCTGAAAAGCTTTGGGGATGTTCCTGCCCGTCCCCACCTCCAGGGAGAGGGGAAAAAAAATCTGGGAGTGGGAAAAAAGGAGTTTTACTCTGGGACAGAGACTTGTCTGGAGGAGGGGTGGGATTTAGGATCCCTCTGCTTTGGGGTTGTTCGGGTTTGGAGGTGCAGGTGGGTGAGGCCCCTCCAGGGCCCAAGGAAGGGTCTGGATGTGGATATTCCCTGTCCTGACTCCCTCTGCATGGCCGAGGGATCTGGGAATGGGACAGGATGGAGATACAGAATGGAAAAATCACTGGGAAAAGGGGGATTTCTCCCCAAAGATGACCAAAAAAACAGGGAAAGCTTGAGAGCACTGGCAGGAGACAAAGCCCCCGATGGGCTGGGGGGCACCGAAGATCCCCAGGAGAGGGGAGTGGGATCCATTGGGATGGGAATGCCAGGGGTCCCCATGGAATGGGAATTCTGTGTGTCCCCATGGAATGGGAATGCCATGGAATGGGAATGCTGAGTGTCTCCAATGAATGGGAATGCTGGGTGTCCCCAAGGAATGGGAATGGCATGGAATGGGAATTCTGGGTGTCTCCATGGAATGGGAATGCCATGTCTCCAATGAATGGGAATGCTGGGTGTCCCCAAGGAATGGGAATGGCATGGAATGGGAATGCCGGGTGTCCCCCAGGAATGGGAATGCCATGGAATAGGAATGCCGGGTGTCCCCATGGAATGGGAATGCCATGGAATGGGAATGCCGGCTGTCCCCATGGAATGGGAATGCCAAGGAATGAGAGCACCGAGTGTCCCGGTGGCTGGAGCTCTCCCATGCCAGCTCCCGGCCGTGTTTGCCGTGCGTTATTTGAACATTCATCTCACTCAAGCACCACTTCAGCGCCGCAGGACGGGCCCTATCTCACAGGAAAGAACCGAGAGCCTTCCTCCCCCCGCCCCTCACTTTCCCCGGGCCTGGATTATCCCAAATAAACACTCACTCGGGGTAATCGTTAACCTGAATGGCTCGGGCTGCAGTGGGAGCCTCGAGGGGTTGATAGTCCTGGGGACACAGGAGATAAGGGCAGGGTTTGAAGGGCAGCGCTCGTGGCCGCTGTCACGGCCCGTTCCCAGTGGGCTGGGAACGTTCTGTGCCACCTTCCCCAAAGTTCACCCCGCTGGAGCCCTCCCTGCTGTTTGCCAGTGTGATTTGTCCCCGCAGGTCCGGGGGTGGCTTTGCCTCCAGCAGCCCCACGGGTGTCCCTCAATCCCCTCAAACACCCGCAGAACCCGCCCGGCGGCTCCTTCCCCCCGGAGCTGTGTTTTCCCAAGTCAATGGATAACTTTACAGCCATGGGCACATCAAACAGAACAGCCCAGGTCTGCCGGGGGACAGCGAAGTTCAAAATTAAAGCCACCCTCAAAGTCACTGCCAGGCTGGGGGAGCATCTCCAGGGGTTTTCCAGATCCCTGGGGAAGCTGGGCTGGGTTTTCTACCCCCTGTCCCAACAGACCTTGGGCACAGAGCAGGACCTTCACCATCCTGTGGGACCTTCCAGCTTCTCCCTCTGGAACCAGAAGGACAGAGCCTCCTCCAGGGAGTTTCCCATCCCCACCCTCCCTTCCATGTGTTTTCCAGGTCCTGGTGTGGCAGCAGCAGCTTCGCTTCCTTCTGAATTCCAAGAGCCGAGTCTCCCGTTGGTGCCGTCACCTCCTGGCCGTGCCCTGTGAGACCGCGTGGCCTCCTCCAGGCTTTCCCCAGGATTTTATCCCTCCCTGTCCTTGACCAGCCGGATCTTGGCATTCCTGGAGCTTTAACAGCCCGGCAGGAGCAGTCCCTGCATCGACCCAGCTCAAACCAGGCCAGGCCAGGACAGGACGGTGCTGGGGGGACACTGCAGGGAGTGAGAGCCACGGGGTGGGAAAGGGAGAAGGACTTTTTGGGATTCTGCTCAAGAGGTGAGCCTGAACTTCCACCTCTGCTCTGAGCCCTGTCCCAGATTTGCCACCGCTCCAAGAGGACGTTCCAGGGAGGAGCTGGCCCAAAGGGACCTCAGCCAGGTCTGACATCTCTCCAGCCAGGCCCTCCCTGGCGTTTTCCCCACTTTGGGAGGACACTTCAGGTTCTCAAGCAACCAGCCCCCCTCTAAACCTCGGTGACATCCCCGTTATTCACTGTCCTGGGGGCTTCACCAGGAGCAGCCCGGGGCACAGTGGTGCCCCCAAGGACAGGACAGGGCCATGGAATGTTCAGGTGTCTTGTCCCTCTTCCCCTCCTGGAGCTGTGGATGCTCCATTTCCCTCCAGGATAAAGAAGGGGAGCACAGAAAGGTGAGGGGGTCAAAACCAAGGGTTGTGTCCCTCCTTCCCCTTCCCACGGTGCTGGGACAGGGACAACTCCAGGCTCACACCGTTCATGGATCCTCCCCTGTCTGGATACCCATTTCCCCAATAAAAAAACCTTTATTTCCTCCTTTACTGAAGCCTGGAAAAGCAGGGGATGAAGGCAAAAAAAAGCTCCTGGAGCAGGAAGGAAAGGACCAGAAGCCAGAGCAGGTGTGCAGGTGATAAAATTTTATTACAAAATAGGAGATGGATCAATGTTCCTGGGGGAGTTTGGTGGGGGAGAGGGGTTCTGTAACAAACACAGCATCCCAGGAAAAGAAATCTTCCCTCCCCACACGTTTTCCAGGTCCCAATTTCCTCCCATTGTGTTCATCTTGGATAATAAAGATCACCTGGAAGAACCCACAAAGTCACACAGCACTTTTGGCCTATTTACAGCGATTTTCTCCCCATCATCAAAGAGAGGTGAGGCACCCACATTCCAGAGTTTGATCCGCTCCTTGCAAAGCTTTTCCAAAATATCCCAGGGGACTGGGGGTGGAGGGACCTTCATTTGTCACCAGTGTCATGTGGCTCCATCGGCACCACCCCCCTTTCCCCAGATTTCTCCCCAAAAACAGCTGCCCTCGCTCAGCAATACAAACCCAGAGCTCTCCACTCCGTCCATAGACAAAGAAAGGAATAAAAGCCGAGGATTTGCCGTGGCTTTCATTTTTAAAAACGGAAAACTGTTGCATAGAGAAGGATTTGCACGTGAGGAGTTTGCATACAGAGCAGTGGGTGGGAGCTAAAACACTTCTGCCCCTCATCGAATTTTTTTTAAAAATGTATATATTTATATATTTACACACAGAGAGTCCAGGGGAGGACAAGCAGAGGCTGTAGGGAAAAAGATTCCCAAGGTTAGCAGGAAAATTATGTCCAATTCCCCTCGGATTTCAAGCTGCCTGTTGGTGGGTTTGGCTTTGTACTGGTTTTTAGCAAACTGGTTTTGGGCTCCATCAGCATCACAGGGTGGGGAATTAGGGGTGGGAAGAGGAGGTTTCCTCCTCCAGAGGCAGAGGGGGGTGAAGAGACCCCTCTGAGAGGGCCACGGGTGGGGCTGTGCTTGTGGTCTGGGGGGAACCTGGGGAGGTTCAACCACAAGAGGTGCCCCAAAAAGCCAGCTCGGAGTGTGGAGGTTGGCGCTGAGGGCTGGAAAACTCTTCCCACTGTTGGGAAAAACCATCCAGCAACTCCATGGCCTTTCCCCAGTCCATTCCCACCCTCCATGGCGGCACGGGAGGCTCCTGAGAGCCACAGGGAAGAGTCACCAGAGCTGGACCCCAAATCCTTGCTGCCCTCCTCTCCTGTCAGACAGACCCACGGGACTGGTTCTGTTTATCCAAGGGGAAAAAAGTGGCTTTGGCAACATCAGAGAGGAGTGGCCTCCAAATTCCAGCCTGACCATGGTCCAGTGTGGCCTTCCATCCCATACATCAATCCCTGCACCACCCAAATTTATTCAAGGGAAAACAAGAGAGGAGGGTGTGGAACAAAGGAATATTCTGCTGGACACGGCAGGCCTGTTATTTGGTCCTGATTTATTTAAAACTCTCACAGCTGGTCTCGGAACTGGCTCTTCTTGTGCCAAAATTTAACCCCTGTTAGGCTTTGGAGAACGGGGATGTGCATCCCACGGGATGGGGGGAAGGAGCTTAGGGAGAAGGAGGTGGTGAACCTGTGAGGTAGTCATGTGATTCCACTCTGAACAGCAGGATTTATTGGAATTTGTTTCCAAGATGCTTTTTTCCCTTTTTTATTATTTTTTTTTTCCCCCTCCCATCAGATGGAATGGCAACAGCACAGGCCCGGTGGGACCGGCAGCCGCCGAGCCCTTGAGGGAGGATTTTGGAGAAGGGCACCACTGGTGGATGTTGGGACACCAGACCTTCAGCAGTTGATGTCCCCTGGGGTGGCTTCAAACCCACGCTGGTCCTCCCAGAGACACCCGGAGTCCAAATTCCTCTTGGAAGCAGAAATGCTAAGGACACAACCATGAAAACCTGGCCAGGCAGGGCAGGGCTTGGCAGTCCCAAGCTGGCTGCCAGGAATGGGCTCAGTGGGACACAGGTGACGCTTTTGTCACCTGCTTTTGTGCTGCCCCTTGTTTGAAGGGTGAGTTTGTCACAGGTCTGATCTTCTGTGCCCCCACAGAGATGGGATTGTCACCCCCAACAGTCCTGGGCATGGCTCCTGTGCTGGCGTGGCACCGGTGTCACGTCCATGGTCACATCATGGGGACAGTGCCACATCCACAGTCACACCACAGGGACAGTGCCACATCCATGGTACCATCAGTGTCACATCTGTGGTGTCACATCATGGCACCAGTGCCACATCCATGGTCACACCATGGGGACAGTGCCACATCCATGGTCACACCATGGGACAGGTGTCACATCCATGGTCACATCATGGGGACAGTGCCACATCCACGGTCACACCACGGAGACAGTGCTACATCCATGGTCACACCATGAGGGACAGTGCCACATCCATGGTACCACCAGTGTCATATCCATGGTCACACAGTGTCACATCCATGGTCACACCATGGGACAGGTGCCATGTCCACGGTCACATAGTGTCACATCCTCGGTCACACAGTGTCACATCCATGGCTTTGCCATGGGACTGTCCAAGAGAGTCCAAGTGAGACCAGTCACAGCCAAGCTGTCACATCCTCCCGGGCCTCACCCATCCCAAAAGTCCTTGAGACACGAAGTCACCCCTGAGTGACAAATAAATAGCAGGATTGCCAGAAGAAAGCCCTTGGGAACGCAAGCTCCATCGCCCCGGTGCCACCAGGAGCCTGGTCAGGAGATCAGCCTGCAGTCAGGGCCCGTTTGAAATGAGCTGGGTGGGTTTCAGTCTCTTGTAAAACCAGACAGGGTCGGGGCCGGGCTGGCAGGGGCTCTGCCGCTGCCCCGGATCATCGCGGCGCGGGGTCGTTCCTATGTACAGGTCCTTCCCTGGGAGAAGGGAAGACTTTGAGCTGCTCTCGGAGGAGTGGGAAGGGAGGCTCCTAATTCTGGTGCCTCTTCATGTGCAGGGCCAGGTGGTCGGAGCGGGAGAAGCAGCGGCCGCACGCCAGGCACTTGAAGGGTTTGGCCCCCGTGTGCTTGCGGTAGTGCCGGGTGAGCTCGTCCGAGCGGGCGAAGCGCCAGTCACAGCCCTCCCACGTGCACTTGTAGGGCTTCTCACCTGCCCAGGGGGACAGCCACAGGTCACACGTGTGCCCAGCCTCCCAGAAACACCCCCTGGCCTCTGGAGATGCCCTCCTTCCGTGGCACTGCCAGGGCGCCCCAGCGCACGCAGCCCAGAGGCACCGAGGGACTGAGCTGCACCAGCCAGCTCCTGTCCTTCTTCACCCCCTCCCACTCTGCCTTCCACTGCTCTCCAAATTCCTGCTGGGTTTTGGAGCATTTCTGGCTGAAAACAACTTGTGAATTAGTTTGGGGTTTTTTTTAAAAGAAAAAAGCCAAAAATTCCTAAGGAGGGTGTGATGTGAGTGGTGGGAGGCACCGGGAGGAAGACAGGGCTCCAAACCTACATTTCAATACAAAATGTCTAAATTGTTTTGGAGCACCCATCCAGTGTTGGTGGCTTCCCCATCCCTGGAAGTGCTCAAGGCCAGGTTGGACGAGGTTTGGAGCAACTTGATCTGGTGGAAGACGTCCCTAAAGGATCAGACAACCTTTAAAGACCCCTCCCAAAGCCAAACCGTTCCAGGATTCCATGACCTAACGCTCCACACCTCCACGTTCCCCCGCCAGCAGCTCTGTACACAAGGTATTGTGTTTCCCTCAGAGCTTTCAGGTGATGTCATCCCCGTGCCCTCTCCCCCTCCCTCCCAAACACACCCATTCCCAACCGAAATCCATGAAATCCATTCACCCCGCCACCTTCCCAGCCAGCTGGGAACTGGGCTGGAAAAGCCGGCGGCTGCTTCCAGCCAGGCCACGGGGCTGAACCCTGCCTGCAGCCCTGTCCCCACACAGGGTGTGGTGCTCTCAAATATTAGAGCTGCTCTTAACAGCCTGAACAAGCAGGCAGAGTTCAGGGAATGTGCTGACATTCCCGACCTCAAATATTTACCCTTCCCGGGGCCAACTGCCGGGCGCAGCGGCGCGGCGGGAGCGCACGTCCGCACGCAGCACGCGTGCACGGGCATGTGTGCCCTGCCCTGCCGTGCTTCCAGGGATTCCTTCCTCCCCAGGCTTCCAGGGGGACCTTCCCATGCGCCCAGGGAGCCTTTCCTCCCACAGGCTGCTCCACGGAACCAGGGAATCCTGGAACAGCTCGGCTTGGAAAGCCCTTCAAGTTCCGCCCTGCCCAGACCAGGTTCCACCAACTTCCAGGGATTCCTACACCGATTTCTAGGGATTCCTTCCTCTCCATGCTTCTCAGGGAGCCTTTCCTCCCACAGGCTGCTCCATGGAACCAGGGAATCCTGGAATGCCTTGGCTTGGAAGGGACTTTACGGCCCATCTTCCCCAGACCAGGTTCCACTAGTCCACATTCCGCTAGATCCCAGTCCTATCCCACCTGGCCTTGAGCAATTCCCAGGGCTGGGGATGCCACGTTCGGCCAGGGAAGTGGAAGGTCTCCAAGTGCCCTGCCCACGGTGGATGAAACACAAAACCATGGAAAGGCGAACCTGGAGGAGGCAGAGCAGCACGAGCACATCCTGCTCCTCAAAAAACCCCTGGATGCTGCTCCGTGGGAAAGGGAGGGGGGTTTTTATGGCTCAGGTAAACACTGAGTGCAGAGGATTTACAAGGAGCTGGTTGGGGGTTTATGGGACTTGGGACATGCCAAGACAACGGTAGGATTTTCCCAAAGTTCAGATTTCCCCCGAGGTGGGATTTCCCCAAAATCAGATTTTCCCAAAGGCAGGATTTGCCCCTCGCAGCCCAGACATTGTCCCCTCCAGGTCACCTGGCTGGGTCAACCCCACCGAAGCCCTTTGCCTACAAACAATGCCAGGGTGATCTCCAGGACAGAAACCCAAGGTTTCCTATTGTCCCGGGTTTCCCATTGTCCCGGGAGCTGGCTGCCTCTCCCAGGACAGCACGGCAGGGCGGGCTCAAACAAAGGATCCAAGGTGGCATTCCCGGCCCCGGGGGTTTATGTTTAACCTCACAATGGCACCCAGGAAATGAATGGTGGCTCCGGGAGAGGGAAACACCCGGCCCACGGCAACGGGAAACCACAAGGAAAGAGTTCCCAGATCATCAGGCAGGGAATGGGAGAAGGGACATTTTTAACCCTGCGGATGAGGGGGGTGAGGCAGGATTTGGGGTGAGCCTTTGCTCTTGCAGCTCTCAGTTCTTTTCCAAAGCAAAACACCAGGCTTAAAAGCCTTGGATGCAGAGATCTTGGGATGCAGAGATCCCGGGATGCAGAGATCCCGGGATGCAGAGATCCCGGGATGCGGAGATCCTTGGATGCAGAGATCCTGGGATGCAGAGATCCTTGGATGCAGAGATCCTGGGATGCAGAGATCCTGGGATGCAGAGATCCTGGGCCAGGATTGTGGGATGGCTCCAGGTTGGATTCCCTGCTTTTTGCTCATCCCACACCACCACCAGCTCTCCTCAGCTCACACCCTCCCTCACCTCTCCACCCTTCCCTCTAACAGCAGGGGAAGGGAAGGAGCCAAAGCCACTCGGATTTCCTGCCTGGATACTGGGAAACCTGGAAAACCCACTGAGTTTCCCTGGATTTCAAACCCATCCAAGTTTTCGTGGGTACATCTTTATATCTGATAGGGAAGGAGGCGCCCAACTCATGGATCCTGTCCTGGGCACAGAGCGCCCCACAGAAGGGACAGGAGATATTTAATTTAATCTAATTTAATTTTAAAGCCCCGATTCCAGACTGTGATAAATCCCTATCAGTACCCAGCTCTGGGACAACATCCTTCCTGTTCCTCTTTTTCCACCCCTTCCGTGCTGTTTCCCAGCCCCCTCCTCCCCAGCCCCTGCCAAAGAAATATCAGTGGCTCATGCACAAAGCGAAATTCTTTGTTTGAAGGGCTGATAAGGAGGAGGAAGGGGAGGAAGGAACGGAGCCAAGAGCCAGAACCAATTCCCAGCTGCAGAGTGGGGTTTGGTCGTTGTTCATAAAAAAGAGAAGTGAACTCTGGGCCCAGCTTAATTGCTCTCAGTAAAGATCAGCCCTCCTATAAAAGAGATTTATGAGGGCACTGATGGTTCCTGGACTACCTGGGGATCTGATAACGTTTCAGGTATAATAAATGCCTTAATGAGGGCGCCGGGGCTTGACTGCAGAGTGTCACGGAGCTGGGATCAGCCCAGGGGAGCTGTGCTGGGAGCTGCTCCCGGCTGGGGTCCCTGTTTCTCATTCCCTGGTCCTCATTCCCTCATTCCTGTCGGGAATGAGGGCACAGCCCAACCCCCATGGACTGCTGGGTTCAGAGGGAGGGGTGCCCAAGGAGACACGAGGGGTTCCTCCCTCTCCCTGGGAGCCACCACGGGGGTTTGACACTAAAGAGATGCCCTGGTCTCCCAGAGATCCTAAACTCAGGCCTTACAAATCCTTCCTGTAGGATCAGCAGGATCAGCCCTGGGTAGGATTTGGGATATCTTGAGAGAAGAGCTCAGAGTGACAAAAAAATCAAAGAATCAAGGAACAAACCAGGTTAGGAGGGATCTGAAAGTTCATCTCACACTACTGATGGTAATTTCCACCATCCCAGGTGCTCCAGTCCCAATGTCCAGCCTGGCTTTGGGCACTTCCAGGGATCCAGGGGCAGCCCCAGCTGCTCTGGGCACCTGTGCCAGGGCCTGCCCACCCTGCCAGGGAACAATTCCTGCCCCATATCCCATCCAGCCCTGCCCTTTTTGGGGGGATTTGGTACCTGAGGCTGGCAGCGTTTCCTGGAGCCGCTCTTACCTGTGTGAGTCCTCTGATGTGCCTTCAGGTGGGAGCTCTTGGTGTAAACCTTTGAGCAACCTGCAGGGACAGAAAAAAAACACAATTTGCCTGTGAGAGAGGGGCCCTCGCTCAAACAAACTCTGATATTTGAGGGGAGGGGCAGAGCTGGGCCATGCAAATACGCCTGGCTTGGGCTCAGCATTAACTAGAGAGCGTTTTCTCTTGGGCAGACAGGCTTTAACACCTTCTCCTGCCACCCATGGGAGCTGTGCTGGGAATGAGGCAGGGGAGAGTCAAGCACAGAGGTTCAAACCCTCCCTTCCACCACCAGGAAGAAAAGATTCAGTTCCCCACCATTTCTGGCTATGTGCTCCAGTCTCTCTGGGCTCCCGTCGTAGCTGATATCACTTTGCAAAGCTGGGTTTTGTAACAGCCCTGGCCCAGCAGACGTGGTAGGAATGTTCCAGGAAGCAGGCAACAGCCAGGGACAGGCACAACTTGGCTCCCAAGTCCCAGAACAGAGCCAGGGGTTTTCACAAGATCAGCATGAACGGGTTTCATCAAAGACAAGGTTTAACTGAAACGCCGTGACTGGGGAGAAGTTCCAGTTTTCAGCAGGTGTCTCAAAACCAGTCAGGTTTAATTCCTGCAGAGTTTCAGCTGGATAAAGCTTAAGGAAGCCTCTGCTGCCCTTTCTGGCCCTGCTGCTTTGTGTTTTGATGAGGACATTCAAATCTGAATTTGAATTGTTGTGACCTGCACAAGCAGCACAGGGACATTTCTCATCCCAGTGTTTCCCCCAGCCCAGAGGAGCCTCCTGGCCTTGGTCCCGTCCTGCTCAGGTGGGGCAGGAGCAGCAAGGGGTGGTGGCCCCGTTCAGTTTTGCTTCTGGTGCTCTGAAGCTTTGGCAATCCCTCACATTTGGGAGAGAGATCATGGGATCATGGAATGGTTTGGGTTGGAAAAGACCTCAAAGCTCTTCCCATTCCACCCCTGCCATGGCAGGGACACCTCCCACTGTCCCAGGCTGCTCCAAGCCCTGTGTCCAACCTGGCCTGGGACACTTCCAGGGATCCAGGGGCAGCCACAGCTTCTCTGGGAGTTCCATACCAGTCCCTCCTCATCCTCATAGCCAGGAATTCCTTCCCAATATCCCATCTAACCATTCCTTCTGGCAGTGGGGGCCATTCCCTGTGTCCTGTCCCTCCATCCCTTGTCCCAGATCCTTCTCCAGCTCTCCTGGATCTCCTTTAGGCCCTGGAAGGCTCTGGATGGGGGCTTTACGGACAGGTCTCCCAAGTCCACCTGGTTCCAGGTGTGAAGTCTCCCAGGCCCTTTCACTTCCTCACACAGACCAGGTTGGTGAGAATTCCTTACCATTATTCCTGACTGGAGTCACCTCCAGCTGAACCTTCAAGGGAGGGATCCCACGGATCCCTGCTCCATCTCTGCACGTCCACACCCAGGATTTACTCAGCAAAGATTGGGGTGGTTTTGTTTTTGCACCACAGACCAAAATTCTGCCTAAAACCAGCTTTGCCTCGGTGCAAATCCAGCAGGATGAGCCTCTGAGCAGTCAGACATGAGGAATGTGTCTCAGATCCCACCTTTCATGTCCTCACCATGACCAGCAGAAGGTAAAAAATGCAGCACAAGCCATCCACCACTGGCAGCTTCTGGCTCGGCAAGTCCCTGATCCACAGGGAGCCAGCGAGGACGAAGGTGTCAGCACAGAAAGGTCTCTCCCAACCTGTCCTGTCCCTATGCAGTTCCTGGCATCACAGCTGGAGACAGGATCTGGAGCAGGCAGAGCCTCTGGGCTGACCTCCAGCCGCTCCCATGCCATGGAAAGAGTCTGTAAATCTCCCAGGAGGCGGTTAGGAAGTGACTTTCCTCATTCACACACACCCCACGGGAAAAGTGTTTGCTAATCCACAACTGGTCAGCACTGGGGATCAGCCCAGGAAGCGGGAGGTGTGTCCTGGCTCCGGGAGCGGAGATTTCCAAGCCCTCAGATGGCTCTCATTGGGATCTCTCAATGGGATCTGCTTCCCTGGTGTGTGCCATGGAATCCCAGACTGGGATTGGAAGGAAATCCCATCCAGACTCACCCCTGCCATGGCAGGGACACCTCCCACTGTCCCAGGCTGCTCCAAGCCCTGTCCAGCCTGGCCATGGACACTTCCAGGGATCCAGGGACAGCGCCAGCTGCTCTGGGCTGATCCCCAGCTTGAGGGCTTGGAGCAAACTGGGACAGGGGAAGGTGTCCCTGCCCACGGCAGGAGTGGGATGGATGGCACAGCCTTTGAACATCCCTTCCAACCCAAACCACGCCGTGATGGCCCTGGCACAGCTCCCGCTGCAGCACAGGGAGCCACAGAAGGATGGCACAGGGACACCCAGCTCACAGCCCCCTGGGAAGATCACAACCCTCAGAGGGAGTTCAGCTCTTGGGGGGAATTCCTCGCTGGTTTTCCACCCACTGTGAGAGAGAGGGAAAGGAAGGGAATGGCAGAGTGGCTTCACACGGCTGCTCAGGGTTGGGAAAGACCAGAGCAAAGCAACAGCTCAGGAGCAGATTCCCATGTGCAGATTCCCAGGTGCAGATTCCCAGGAGCAGATTCCCAGGAGCAGATTCCCAGGAGCAGATTCCCAGGTGAAGATTCCCAGGTGCAGATTCCCAGGAACAGATTCCCAGGTGAAGATTCCCAGGTGCAGATTCCTAGGTACAGGTTCCCAGGTGCAGATTCCCAGGTACAGATTCCCAGGAGCATCCCTGGCTTTGCAGAAGCTCTCTGCCTCGCTGAGTTGCTCTTGCCAGAGTGTAAAGTGAGAGGGAAGGAGACAGAACAGGAACCACACCGTGCTGGTGGGATCAACCTCTTCTACTCCCTCCTACTTCCCTGGGGCTCCATCCACAGCTTCATCCCAAAAGGATCTCCGATTTTCCTCCCTGGAGGCTCCCACCCATCCTCAGGGTGCCAAGAGACCCCTGAAGCCCCCCATGAGCACACCTGGGAAGTCACAGTGGTGGATCCTCCTCTTCTCCAGCTCGGGGTTGTTGCGCCGGTTGTACTTGGGGGGCTGCATCACAACGTGGCCCTGGGAGAGGCCCCCAACGCCGTTGGGACCTGGGGGGATCTGGGACGACTGGACCAGCTTCAGTCCAAAAGTGGCTTCGTAGGACGGCGGGGGAGAGATGGTGTTGATGAGCTCGGGTTGGTTCTCGGGGCTGCCAGGCTGCGAGTTGGGGGGCGAGGGGGGCAGAGTCACCCCCGGGGCGGGGTAGAACTGCCCAGGGATGTTCCCAAAGCTTCCCTGTCCCTGGGCCACGTGTGGGTACTGCTTGAGGGGCCCCGCTGGCTGCACGGGTCTGTGTGCCATGCTGGCCACCGAGCCCGTGGACATGGTGACCCCACTGAGGCAGCTGATGGCCGTGGTGCTGCTGGAGGAGGACGCCAGGGTGGGGATGTCGGTTCCAGTGGCGCCCAGGGGCAGCTGGAAGAGCTGGGATTGCTGCGGGTGGGCCGACAAGGGGATCTCGGCCGGCATCTCCTGCTTGATGAAGATGTTGTTGACCGCCACCGACTGGGGCATGCTGAACACGCTGGTGAAGTCGGGCAGGGTCTGCGTGGGGCCGGAGGAGGACGAGCAGGGCTGGGAGAAGCCAGTGCCGGGCTCGGTTTTGATCTGCGGGAAGGGGGCCATGGGTTTGGGGGGCCGGTAGAGCCCCGTGCGCAGGTGGGTGGTGTCGGGCAGGATGACATTGATGTTCACGCTGTAGGGAGTGGAGCTGGGCTTCTCCGTGGAGAAGAACTCGTCCACCACCGAGGCGCTCTCCCGGCGGTACTTCTTGTCCGGGAGCATCGGCACGGGCGGCACCTCGCTGGACAGGTACTTGTCCATCTCCGAGCGCGCCTGCGGAGAAAACACGGACAGGGGACCTGGGAAAGGTGACCTTGGCACCCAGCAGGGGCAGGCCAGTGCTCGATGGGGATTTGAGCCAGCAGGAAATGGAGGCGGCAGCGGGAACAGCCCAAGAACCTGAGCTGAGGTGATTTAGCTCCAGGTCTGACTCAGCCAGGCTCCCCAGGGCTGAATCAGCGTCCTCTGCCCCACTTCCCCAATCCCTATCGCCCTGATAACGCCGGGCAGCCGGGAGAGGGTGCAGGTGGGACAGAAATCAGACCTGATAAAGGGAAACAAGCTTTGGGTACCAAGCTTTGGCCACACAAACAGCAGGAGTGAGCACCAGCAGTGCAGGGATGAATCCAGCCAGGATCTGCTGCCCACCTTGGATGTGCTGGCTCTGGTCTCCTTTAAACTCAGCAGCCTGAGGAGTGTTTTATTCTGGGAAAGTCTCTAATGAACTGAGGAATTCTAGGACAATATCTTTAATTAATTGGGAATAATTTGGGCCTAGAAATATTAGTGATATTGCCACTAATTCAGTGTGTCCCGAGCCTAAAATGGGCACAGTTCCTGCCGTCCTGCCTCACCTGGGCAATGACTCAGCCCTGGCCTAACCTTTGGGTTAGTTCTGGTTTTACAGAGCTGTTTTTACAAGCCTGGCTCCTCCAAGCTACCAGAACCTCTGGCTCTGGTGCCTTCCCCTCCTGGTTCCTGCCTGCTGGGGCACCCCACTGGATCCAGGCCCGAAAATCCAGCAGCCTGATGGAGCAATCCTTGGGGAAATTCATCTTCTGGTGCTGGATGACTCAGGTTCTGCTTGTTGTGGTTGCAGATCCCAGCACTAAAGCTCTCGTGCAGAGCTTAATTACGTGGTTCTCCAAGTGTCAAAGCCCTCATTCCTATGGAGAGCAGCTGGAAAACCACCAGGTTTCCCTGGCAGAGCCCAGTGTGCACTCCAGGAGCGGGAGCTGAGCTCAGCCCACGCCCTGAGCCGAGCTTTCCAGCCCTGAACTGTGTCACCAGGGTGCCATGGGCCAAAGTCAGCCCTGCTGCCACCTCAGGGCTCTGAACAAAGCTGGGCAGGAGCCAAGAGATTTCCTCACCCTTTCCAGGGAAAGGATCATGGAGCTTCCAGCTCATTCAAAGAGCCTTTGCACCTCTGGGAGCTGTGCTGGCGACACATGGCTGAGCTGGCTGTCACCCAGGCATGGGGACAGCCACAAATCCACCCTCTGCCACCCGGGAGGGAGCTCAGGGAACCGGCATGGGAAGGGCCACGCTGGGACTGGTGTGTGTACACGGAGTGCTGGGAATCCTGCAGAACCAGGGAATCCTACAGAACCAGGGAATCCTACAGAACCAGGGAATCCTAGAGAAACAGGGAATCCTAGAGAAACAGGGAATCCTACAGAACCAGAGAATCCTACAGAACCAGGGAATCCTACAGAACCAGGGAATACTACAGAACCAGGGAATACTACAGAACCTGGGAATCCTAGAGAATCAGGGAATCCTACAGAATCAGGGAATCCTACAGAACCCGGGAATCCTACAGAAATAGGGAATCCTACAGAACCAGGGAATCCTACAGAACCAGGGAATACTACAGAACCAGGGAATCCTGCAGAATCAGGGAATCCTACAGAACCAGGGAATCCTGCAGAATCAGGGAATCCTACAGAACCAGGGAATCCTGCAGAATCAGGGAATCCTGTAGGACCCAGGAATCCTGCAGAACCAGGGAATCCTACAGAAACAGGGAATTGTGTGGAAAAGACCTCTAAGGTCATCGAGTCCAACCATGACATGTCTGTCCTCGTCAAACGTGGAGGTACTGGAAGTTCCTGTCCCAGGTGAAGGAAGTTCAGGAAGCCCCTCTGGAGAAGGAACCCTGGCTCAGGCAGAGCCTAAAGCCACTTGTGGAGTCATGGAACATCCCAAGTTGGAAAGCATCCACAAGGATCATCCAGCCCAGCCCTGCACAGGACACCCCAACAACCTCACCCTGATGGACCACACGCTGCTGGAGCTCTGGCAGCCTCGGACTGTGCCCATTCCCTGGGGAACCTGCCCAGCACCCTCTGGATGAGGAACCTTTCCCTGATCTCCACACTGACCCTCCCTGGCACCACTCCAGCTGTCCCCTGGGTCCTGTCCCTACTCCCTCTTTGCCCCGAGGCATCAGCAGGAGGCCGGGAAGGGACCCAGAGCTGCACCTCCATCCCACCCCCATGGAGAGCTCCAAGCCCCATGTCCCTCCCTGCTCCTCTCGGTGCCCAGCTCGGGTTCCCTCCCTTGGGAGAACCACGGCAAAGCCTTGGAGCCCAGCCCTGGGCACTCCTGGCAGCCAGGCTGGCACAGGCCGGGTTCCCTTGGGAATCAGCTCAGGATGCCGCGCATTCCTGAGCAGTGAACGGCCCCACTTGGCAGGAGCAGGGGCAGGGCCAGGTGCTGGGTGCCTTTTCCTTCACACTTCCCTTATCTCTGGCATTTCACTTTCTCACCTCCAGTTCCCAAGGGAAGGTCCTTCTGCCCCAGGGGACCAGGCAGGAATAGAAATGGAGGAAGGTGTGGAGCTCAGAGGGCCTTTCCAAACTAAAGGATTCCATGGAAGGCCCTTGTTTCTCCCTTCCCCTAGAACCACCCCTCCCTGCAGAGCACATTATCTTCCCAGTCTTCCCATTAAAAATCCACAGTAATTCCCCTTCAGGCTCCTGGAGAAAGGGAAAGGACCAGCAGGGGCTGTCACCAGGCAGGAGGACACCAGCCCTGCCCCACTGCTCTGGAGTGGATGGGAGTGGGAATGGGGAGAGGGAATGGGGAGAGGGAATGAGGAGTGGGAATGGGGAGTGGGAATGGGGAAAGGGAATGAGGAGAGGGAATGGGGAGAGGGATGAGGAGTGGGAATGGGGAGTGGGAATGAGGAGTGGGAATGGGGAGAGGGAATGGGGAGAGGGAATGGGGAGAGGGAATGGGGAGAGGGATGAGGAGTGAGAATGGGGAGTGGGAATGGGAAGAGGGAATGAGGAGTGGGAATGAGGAGAGGGAATGAGGAGTGGGAATGGGGAGAGGGAATGGGGAGAGGGAATGGGGCGTGGGGAATGTCCCAGCTCAGTCTCTTGGGGACTTCTGTGTTTCCTCTTCCCAACAGGAGCGGGAGGATGCAGGGGAAGGGATGAGGAAAGGCACTCACCTCCAGGATGAGCGGTGGCATCCGCTGGTCCATCCTCATGGGGTGCAGCTGTGGGAGGCAGGGCTGGGTTAGTGGGGTGTCCTCCCCAGCTTGGCCACCCCAAAGACCTCCCCAAATTCCCCTGGCCAAGGAGGGCAGCACCCCCAGAGCCTCCCAGAGCCCCCCAGGCTCTCCAGGTGTCCCCCCTGCCAGTGGTGTTTCCTCCCACCCCACACTCCGTGGCATGGAAGCAGCTGCTGGTTGCCCACCACACGTTGATGGTTGCCCAGCACACATTGATGGTTGCCCACCACATGTCGATGGTTGCCCACCATGGGTTGATGGTTGCCCACCATGGGTCGGAGCCTGTCCAAGGAGGAACAGGGAAGCCTCTTTGAAAAGAAGGGACAAGTGGGAAGCCCAGAGCTCTCCGGAGGAGACTGAGGCACGGCACCTGAAATCCCTTTGTCATCCCCACACAGATGAGTGTGCTCACAAATGTCCTGCACCTCTCCCTTCTCCTGCCTCTCCCAGATTCCCACAGAGGGCTGAGGGCTCTTCCCAGATCCCTCAGACCCAAATTCTTTCTCCAAGGCTCCAAGATTCCTCCAGCTCCAAGAGCAGAAGAGATCTGGGACTCCTCCAAATCCCAAACCAGGGTTTACAGCCTCCTGTGGGCTCATTCCACATCCTTCTCCTGCTCACTTCCAGGAGAATTTCAGATCCCAAAGCTGGAGACCCCACATCCTCTGCCTGTCCCCCTCCCAAGGGACAGCAGTGACCTGGAATGATCGCCCATCCCTTCCACTCCAGGGAATGAACCATTTCCTGGCTCTTTTTGGGGAGGATTGAGCTTATCCCGCCCGCAGGGTGCCCAGCTCAGCCCAACAGTGCACAAGGCATGAGCTGATGGGGAAAGGCCCCAGAGCCTTCCAGATGAAGAGCACCAGGCTTTTAGTGGGATCACAGGCCCAGATTCCCTCACAGTCACTGCCATCCCTGGAGAGCGGGATGAGGGCAGGAGGCACCAGACAACACTGACGGTGTGGCCACGGGCTCCAGCAGCCACCACCAGCCATGGATCAGCAGCTCAGGGAGAAGGGGAAACACCAACAAACCCTCTGGGAGTCCAGAGGGACTGGGATCCTTCACAGAACCCCACAACGCTTTCAGCTGGAAGGGACCTCAAAGCTCATCCCATTCCACCCTCCTGTCCAGCCTGGCCTTGGACACTCCCAGGGATCCAGGGGCAGCCACAGCTGCTCTGGGAGCTCCATACCAGTCCCTCCTCATCCTCATAGCCAGGAATTCCTTCCCAATATCCCACCCTAAACTCTATTTAATTTGAAGCCATCTTTATGTGGCCAGGAAGGGAAAGCTAACAAGAGACTCCTCTCACACAGCCAAAGCCCTGAACTCTGGGGAGATTTTTCCCCCAAAAAGTCACCCAAGTTTGACGCTGGAGAAGCATCTCCTCCACTTGGCAGAGAAAGTAAACCAAAATAAAAACGAGGAGAAGGCACAAACCAGCACTTTGTCCACTCCAGTGAGGCCACTGGCCACCAGTTTGTGTCGCTGGAGTAGCAGTGTTGCACTCAGCACACCCAAACCTGGCGACCAAAATTCCCTGGGGGATGGGATAACATCAGGAGCAGCCCCTGGGAGAGCTGGAGTTTGTGAAACCCCCAGCCCCAGTAAAACCAGTGGCTGGATGAAGTGAGCAATGCCATCCCACCTCTCCAGAGTGGGTTTTCCAGGGGCAGGATTTTCCAGTGGTTCCTAGGGGTGGATGTGATCCCCTCCACCCCTGCCAGTTCCCATAAATCCTGCAGGATTTACCCCTGGATCAGGTGTCCCAGGCTGGGGGAGCTGTTATCAGCATGGAGATCGATTCAGGCAGAGTCCAACACAAACATTTCTTGGCAGGCCCGAGATAAACCCGGATTAACGGCGAGCACGGGGAGCTGGGCTGGGGCTGTCCCCTGGTTAAACACCTCCTAATCTGCAGGTGACAAATGCCAAACGGCCCGAGGAACATCAGGTGTTGTCACCACGGGGGCCAGGAGGGAAATCAGTGTTTGCTAAACAGGTGCAGGGAGGGCTGGGAGGGTATTTCACCGGGCCCCTGCTAGCTCCTGCCTGCCCAGAGCTCCCATCCCATCTCCCAGACGGGAGATTCCTGCTCTGCTGGATCCCAGGCCCCTGCTCACAGCCAGCCCCCAGTGTGGTGCTGTCACTGCTGCAAAGAGCTCTGGGGACAGAGGGGCAGGGAAAATGTCACCCGTGCCCGTGCTGGGCAGCAAAGAGCATCCAGCCCTGGGACCCAGCACCAGAGGGATGTGGAACTGCTGGGATAAATCCAGAGGAGGCTCCCAGGGGTGGAGCCAGGCTGGGATAGATGGGGGGGCTCACCTGGAGAGGAGAAGGATCCAGGGAGAGCTCAGAGCCCCTTACAGGGCCTGAAGGAGCTCCAGGAGAGCTGGAGAGGGACTGGGGACAAGGGATGGAGGGACAGGACACAGGGAATGGCTCCCAGTGCCAGAGGGCAGGGCTGGATGGGATACTGGGATTTTAGGCAGGAATTGTTCCCTGGCAGGGTGGGCAGGCCCTGGCACAGGTGCCCAGAGCAGCTGGGGCTGCCCCTGGATCCCTGGAATGTCCCAGGCCAGGCTGGATGGGGCTGGGAGCAGCCTGGGACAGCGGAAGGTGTCAAGGTTGGGTGACCTCTGATGTCCCCCCCGACACAAACCACTCCATGATTCCGTGACGTGGGGGCTCAGGAAACGAGGGAACAGCAGGACACGGCTCCAAGGGGAAGGGGGGACCCCGGGAACGCAGGTGTGGCACAACGGTCGTGCCACAACAACCCAGCCTGGGCTCTTTCTCCTCCTGCACCTGCATGAAACCGCAGCCTCCAAGGGAATCAGCAAACAATGGGCAGGATAATCATCAATCAACCCCCCTGGCACGGCCCTGGCAGTGCCCCTGTGCAGGCTCACTTTATAAATAGCCTGTATTTATATCCAGATTTGGTTCAATATCAGCATTTATTGTCTCCTGGTTAAATATTGACCTGGGTAAATATTTGTTCCTCTGATCATTTGGGTTTGATACCGACCTGGATCGACGTTATTTTCTGTTTGTTCCTCAAGTCTCCTGGAACTCTCTGCAAAACGGGATTAGCAAAGAAAGCCCCGGGACTCTTCCTTTCAAGTGCCCAACGTTTGGCTGCTGTAAACAACAAAGCCGTGTCCCAGATGGAATCCCTGCTCCCGTGGGAATGTGCTGGAAGGCCCTGGATGGGCTCCCCTGCTCGCTCAGTCCCACAGGGGCTCCCAGCAGCTCCAGGGTGAGGGGCTGCTCTCAAAGCGGATAATTTGGGATGGAAAACCCCTCTAAGGTGATCAAGTCCAAGGTTTGCATCATCCACTCCAGATATTTCCCCTTTTCCTGCCACACAAGGGATGTGAGACCCCATCCTGCCCAAACCTGGGGCTTCAGAGCAGCTCCAGGTTGAGGTGCTACTCCCAAATCATTCATGGAATTCCATTCATCCTCCAGGTTTGTGCCCATGGATGGCCCAGGAGATGGGGAGGGTTATCCCAATGCCTCCCCAGGAAGCAGGGAAGCTGGGAATCTCCATCCAGGCAGCCCCACTCCCAGACTTGCTGGCTGTGTTTGCAATTCCTTCCCTCAGGCAGCTGATAAAGGCTCCCTCAAAGGCAATCCAGCTCAGGTATTTATCACCGGGATCGTGCCACAATCCCAAAGGCCAAGGGAGCCAGGGAAAACACCCTCATCCAGCTCCAAGGTCAAGGGGTTGGAAGAGAGAGGAGCAGCTGGGAACAGCCAGGCTCCAGCAGCAAGCAGAAACCTTTCCAAAAATAAAGCCATAAATGGATTGAAAAATAACAAAGCCTTGGAGACACCAAGCCCAGAGCGGGAAGGGAATGACACAGGAGCACCTCCAGGTGTGAGGGTGAGGGGGTCTCACGTTGACTTTGGGGTTGATCCACATTTTTGGGGTAGATCCCACTCCTGCAGAACCCCCAGGAGCCACCTCAGCCCTGGATGGAGCGGGAAGGAAGGTGGGAATCAGGGATGGCCTCTCCCATGGCTGCACCCACCATGAGGACAGCTCTCAAAGCGTGGGGAGGGAGGACATGAGGGTTCAAGGGAGTCAGACCTCCAAGGCTTTCCAGGATATTCCCATTCCGTGATTTCTGAGCTGCTCCTGCTCAGCACCTGGAGGTTTTCCATCAAAGCCAAGGGGAGGTTTTCCATCAAAACTCCTGGAGGTCAATCTGGGCCGATTCCTGCTGTGAGCTGCTACAGCCCCTTGGGTGGTTTTTTAGGGGGGAAATGAAATGGTTTAATGTGATTTCAACTCCTGGAAGCTGGAGAGGCTTGGAGCTGCTCCAGCCTCAGCCAAAACACGGCGGAACTCAAGGAACCCTGGGTTACACGGCACAAATCAGCGCTGGATTTGGAATTAGCCAGGAGCAGGGGCTCCCTGCAGCTCCATCCCAGAACTGCCTCTCCCTGACCCTTGCGTGTCCCAGGATTACCTGGACAAATTTATCCACCTGCTCCTGGCCACAGGACACTGGGATTGTCTTTGAGCCTTCCAGTTCCCCCAGTTACAGATCCCTGCCCCAAGTCCTGAACAGGAGAGGCTCTGGAGCTGCCAGGGATCCTCCCCAGTTGGTGGGATTCACTCTGCCTCCCTCATCCCTGTGGCAGCTCACACATTCCCAGGGGCTGCCAATGGAATGAGTCACTGCCTGCTTGCCGGGGCCTGTGGTGCCCTCCTGGCATCCAGATCCCATCAGAGGCCACAAATCCTGTTATTCCCAGGAAAACCAGCGGGCAGACCCCGGGCAAGGTCAGGTTTCACCTGCAGACAGCAAATTCCCCCCGTCCCTGCGGCCCCAACTTCCTCCCAGAGCGGTTGGGGAAACAAAACAAAGCCTGAGGCAGCTGGGAACGTTGGGTTGGGCCAACTCTTCTTCCAAGCCTCAACATCCCCAGGCCAAGGAGATCCTGCCAAAACAGGGACTGGGGATGTG